TTTCAATAGTCCATAACACATCATCAAGATCAAAGAATAGAATGTTTATATTTGTTAACTCAATTTAAAATTTTGAAATCTTAACATTTGTTGCCAAATAATATTTCTAATTTCTGAGTCTCAATAATTTCAGACTATGTTCACCACCCCTATTGTATATATAGTTATAATTCTGAGATAATATTGATAGTAATAGACTGTAGAGTTAATACTTCTCCCTTTTATTCTATAGATAATCTAGGGTGTAGTTACATTGACATAGTTCAATATTATATTTTGATAGAGGTAATGATAGATAGACTGATCAAAAGATAAGTAGAACTTGTGATAGTGACAACCAATTTGTGGCAGACGTGAATCAAGTGCTAATGGCTTTGATTGCTACAGTTAGAATCTAACTGTTAGATCCTGAATAGACTGACAAATCTGGCCCCACCCTGTTCCAAGGACATGATATGCATTAGGGCGGCATGTTTAGGCCCAGACATAAAATGGGAGTAACTGCGATCAATTTTTGGATAGCTAGTTATTTAAAGTGACACTATGTCTTAGAATGAACATAAAATTTAAGTTCTCGAAATGGTCAACAGAAGCTCTGTAAAATTTGGAAAATTCATAAAACTAAGTAATTATTGAAAAACGCTTAATCTTGATGTTAACCGTTTTTCAATAGTTAATTGCATATTTATTAAGTTTTTTTGATCCTGTTATGTTATTTATTTATGACACCAGGTATATCTACTGGTTCTTATTCGCCATGTTTAAAATTCCTAAATTCTAAGATGTAGTATCACTTTAAAAGGTATGCCATGACAAAAGTCAAAGATGGACCATCATATTGTGCCTACCACTGGTCTGTTTTGTGGTACCTTGTGGGGTATAAGAACATTGGAGAATAGCCTGTAATGTCTTGATGGAATCATTAATGGTTTAGTCTTGTACAGATACCAAAAGTTATGCCAAATTTGCTTTTTGTCATGGTGAAATTCTCAAAAACTGGATCCTGAAATGTTTATTTATTTCAATAGATATTGTCAATAATTAGCATGAAAATGTTATTGTGACTAGCATTTTCCTTCCATGATAGTTAGTTATAGACTAAATATATTATTACATTACAGTATTACATTATATACTACGACTTGTTGATCTGTGTAATCCTTTGAAATGTCATTGCTACTATTCCTCCAAATGGCAAATGTTCCAGGACTGCAACTAGGCAAAAGATGCTATGAGACAATTAAGGGGTCTGAGTAGAGTTCAAATAGTAATCAACTTTTCCGTAGACATCATATGAGTGTATGCTTACTCTTCTAGACACCTGATATATCACTTTTCATTATAAAATACTTACTCACTTATGATTGATATACTTCCTCATGAATGTGAGAAGTACTTGGTTTATTTATTTATAATATTTATATTTTGAATTTTTAAAAAAGATTTTATATTTATGTTCGTCAATTAGTTATTAGTCATTTAGGCCTAAAAGGTTCTACAGGTAGTAACGGCCCTTAGTATGCCAGTTGTCTGTTGATGTTAGCTCACAATCAGAATCAGTCAAGGTATTGAAATTCCAATCAATGTCATTTCAATTAAATATAGTTAGTTATTATTTTTATTTAGTAGAGTATGGTATTAGAATATTTGACAGTGAAAGGATATGATATAGGTCATAGTCAAATATAAAAGGGTATGATATATACTACTATTCATCCGATGTTAGAGGGTAGATAAAAAGGGCTGATAACAAGGGTTACGCATGTCATGTAGTGTGAAGATGAACATTTACTTTAAGGTCATTAAGGATATGATTAGGTTACTTAATGGGGTTCACCTTGAACATTACTTGCATACTGCATACATGTAGTTTTTACACTGTTGATATGTCCTTCTGTGGCAAATATCGAGATAATACCCTCTGATTTTTCAACCCGGTTTCCCACTGTCAGTGATGCAGGTAAGAGGGACTGACATGGAAAAAGCATCAAGTCGTTCGGATTGGCAATAAACCAAGGCCTTGTGTGCTACAGGCTGTGCATGTTAAAGATCCCTCGACAGTTGGAAATCAAAAAAAAAGTACCCAGTAGGCTGATGCTGCTGTCCTGACAAAGTTTCCTCATTGCACACTATATGACGTTGATCGTTTTCATTAACCTATAAAATGCAGAAAAGTAGGACGTAAAACTCCATTCATTTCATTTCATTAATTAACTGTTTGATTTTGACCATTATATTTTTCATTACAAAATGTTTAATTGTCATCCTGAAAACACTATTTTGGGGGCCAGGTTTTATGAAATTTGCAATATTTTTAACAAAGTATCTAAATTTACACAATAAGTTGTGAGGTAGAGCAAATGTTGATAGACCAGCCACGCTATAAAACAATAGGTTATATATTTATGGTTTATGAATATGCATAGAACGAAGTGACAATAGTGACATGTGACAAGCGACATTATAATGACATGTACATACTGACATGTTCAGATTATCACTGTCTTCAGTTATCATGTCAATGTACATATTCAGATAAAATATTCAGATAAAATATTCAGATAAAATATTCAGATAATAAAACCCATAGTCCACAGATAACATGTAAGGTTAGGCTAGTAAGAACAGTTGTGAGAAATAAGCCTGTGTTTTCACTCTTCACATAAGATTATCTAGGAGATTTATAGCTGACTGTTTTACAACACATGAACAGACTCTACTTTAGCTGCAATGTGCTTTCTCATGGATTATCTCTTATAGGCAAGTAGAACTCAATATGTTTGTGTGAAATACAATTTTCCATCTTAGCAATGTCAAGCTATTACCAACTTCATCTAATACCTTGACTGCAACAACCACTATTCTTGTATATATCAAAAGTTTGTAAATGCAGCCATTTGGTTGGATTGTGAGTTGGTGCATACAGTCAGACAGATAGTCTGTAAACAATAGGCCATAATGTTTACAGTCTGTATGTCGAAGGCACTGGCGTACAATCCAATCTACTTTTGTCTTAATACTTTTTATAGACTTCATTTGCCATAAATGTATGGTTAACATAATTTGCATATTTGTCAAATTAAAATTCCAATATGTAGAAAAGTGAGTGTAATTATATCTAAAGTTTTGTTTTTAAAGAAATAAATGTAAAGAAAGAATGTAAAGAAATTGTAAAGTGATTTGTACTGAATAATGATGTAAATGATAAATTTTTTCGTTTTGGCTCTATTTGATATCAATCTGTAATTCTCTAAACTCTTAGAACAGTGGCTCAAAGCAAAATGTAAAAAAAATATTTATACAATCTTTATTCATTCAAGCTGGTAGTCCTGTCACTGATTTATGATTTAGATGCTTCCTGCTTTATTTTTGGTTTGATGATTTGATCTTTGGAATATCTCTTTAAATAATATATCTGTGTGTTATTTTAGCACATTTCCTCATGGTGGCGTTTGTTTAGAGAGTTCTGAACAGGTTCCGTCTGTTCCAATTCTGCTCCCAATCGATCAGTATGAAAGTGGAAATGTCATATTCCCAAGTTATCCTTCTCTGCCATTTTGAATTTTGTCTGCACCTACTATTATTTTTGGCACAAGTGGAACGGTATATGATTTCGATAAGGTGCCAGAACAGTAGGATCATTATGTTTTAGCAGACCTCCAGAGCATGCTGCTCTACTTGGCATTGGTGCTTGTCAACTGAGCCAAAGTTCTGAAGTATCTTTGCACTAGTTGATGATTTATTGTTTTGTTTGGTGTTTGTATTCAGTTGTAAAGTTCTGTGAGAAAGTTAGAAAACAAGTATTAGTTGATATTATATGTTTGTCAATGTTAATAGCTGTAGGCTTGTACATCTCATATTACTCTCTACATCTTATTATAATAATAGTCTGATATTGTATCTAATTTACTTTATACCTGGGTATCCTGAGGTCTGAAACTTTAAAAGGTAAAATATATTATCACGCAGTTTTTCTTTCAAGAGAAAGTTTCAGAATAACTCTCCATTGAATTTGAGCGTTCAAATCTATGTGTGTCCAGAATTATCTGCATTTGATTGTTGAAATGAGGACCATATATAGAAAAGACATTGAATTTCTAGTTTGAGGTGTATTTGAAGGGATTATGTGATTTTCGTGCAGTTCTAGTACTTCTGAAGACTATTTACTTATATTGAAGACTAAAATCAACCCGCGCAAATAACAAACCATGGCCTTTAACATCAGTATGATTTCAAAATTTACTTATATCATCCTCCTTGATCATTAGGACTTGATTACAAAGTCATCTTGTCACCTTAGAAAAGTTCAAATATTTTCCTGTTTTAAGACCACATTGACATTAGGTCTATTTTCATCAGTAGATAATATAACATGTATATTGTTTATAGATATTATATGATATATATGTCACATCACACTATCTTGTCATAATAATTATTGTTCATGTATGGTCAGTCAACCTAAAAACTCAGAAATATTGTTGTACATTTTTTTCTAAATGGACATAGATATTTATACAGGTTTCATATTAAATAATAACTTGAAATCTCCTTCTTTTGTGAAAAAGACAAAAATTTAATCCACACTTTAAGAGATCCAGTGTGGACCAGTTTCGCTCAAAATTTTATGAACTCAGATATCATACATTTTTACTAATGGATATATCAAGTGCTAATTCAGATTTTGTACAACTTTTAAGTTTTTATTCTCAATCAAATACTTGAAATAATTAAAAACTTGTAAAATAAACCCAAACATTATAGCCAGATATTTTTGGTGCTTCAGTCTGGGCCAGTGTTTTAGTCATTTGATTGGGTAATGTGATATTAGGGTTTTTTTTTCCAACCAATCAGATAAGTGTATGTACTTTATCCGTAGTTAAGTTTTCGAAAAATGTACTTTAACTTTGTTATTAACCAAATCAACTAGCATGAATGCAGGATTCGAGGGGTTTTATGTTTGTGTTTTTTGATTATTGGAATATTTTGTTTATTTTCAGACAGTTCAAGTATTATTAAATAATGGCTGTGACAAGAATCTTGAAGATAACCAAGGTTTAACTGCTCTTGATTTAGCTATCAAGTGTCACAAGTCAGAGTGTCAGGCTATATTGAAAGGGGAGTTAACTCTTCCACTACAGGTAAGATAATATTTGACCTCTTAGAAGAAACAAAATTCTTTAGGACTCTGCCTAAACAAGAAAGCTAGATAACCTTCATATATCCTATCAATATCATTTATAGTGAGATTTTTTTGCTTTTAATCAAAATATTTTAAGGCAACTTCTAATTTTATTTGTGAACAGGCATTCAAAAGACCTAATCAGACATGACTGGCAAATACAATCGAAGCAACAAACCTGATAAATTTTTTTAAGCACATTTTGACATCTCATGAGGCAAAGTAAGAGCCTAGCTGTAAATCTCTATATAAGTGAATTTTTTGTTCATTATGACATATGTTAATATTATCTGCCTGCAGGAATCAAACTCTGTCAAAAAAGAGATAGTTGAAAAGTCTTCTGTGAAAAAGGCAGGTGTACCTCAGTCTAAATCACAAACTTCCAGTAAAAAGTCAGAAGTCGTTCCACCTCACAGAAGATCAGAATTATTTCGACCAGTGTCTATTTTATCTAGTGAGTTTTTCTATTACTTATGTAAGCCCACATCACTCTACGGCACATAATCCAAGCACATCTGTCTATATCCATTCACTTTGGCTTATGCATGCTATAAGATTTTTAGCTAATTTGTTCTGATTGAGGACAATAAGACAGAGATAAATTGCTCTTGTCTTGAATATTGAGAATGATGTAGCTTCTAGTTTTTAACATATTTCATGAAATTTTTTATGTATGAATATTATCAAAAACGTGATAATTGAGACAGTATATAACTTTGGTCCTTTTAAAATGATAAAAAGGCCTACAAAATAACAATTTTCATGAAATTTACTCAAAGTTTTATCTGAAGTCTGAAGGTGTATCTGACCGCCATCTGTAATGTTTTTGTTGTTATATTTCAGCTGTATCTTCAAACTCAGATTTTGGCCATTCTGATCCTCAACCATCAGGGAAGAGTCATAAAGGTTTGTTTATTATTGATAGTTTTATTATATTGTGGTATAACCAGTATATGTTATATGAAGACATTTGCTTCCTATTAAACAGGATATACTTACTATTGTGGAACATCAGATTCCATTTTAATCATCCTTGTCATCCGTTTGTGTTGACGAACACACTGCTCAGTACTGACAGTTGTATCAAACCACACATACTGTTAACTCAAGAGAAAAAATTATTTAGAGAATATGCTAGAATGTTAATCTCCACATTCATTTGAATCTGCTTTCGCTGTCTTCCACATTTTGGTACATTTCACGAGACACCAAAGATCAGATGCTAGGATCAGACACCAAAGATCAGACGCTAGGATCAGACGCAAGGATCAGACACCAAGGATCAGATGCTAGGATGAGGACTTATGATGTCTTTTTTCAGAAAACCTAAGCTATATGCTAGATAGTGTATTCAAAGGATTATTTATTGATTATTTGAGTTAGTGTTTTACCTATATTTTCAGTGCTAGCAGAAGTTCATACAGAAACTGGAGAACAAGAAAATCACATCATACCAAACTCGTTAGTGTTAAATACAACACAACCTACTAAACTTTCTAATCCTATAAATCACCCCACAAATCCTGTGGTTTACCCAGTTCTTGTGGATTCGGCACCTCTTAACCATTCATTCACTAACAATAAATATAGTTTCCCTGAGACCATAAAATCAGAGTGGAGTCAAGTGTCACGATACAACGACACAGATTCAAATAATAATTCAGGAATTGAGAAAAGAAACGTTTTTAAAAGTTCACGAACGTTCAGTTCAGAGAGTTGTGAGGAAAGTGGAGAAGTCGTGACAATTTTAAACAAAATGGAATCATCTGATGATATTGTTGAAAATGGTGTAGATGAACAAGGATTGAATAAATCTGTAATACAAATACGAAATAAAGATGTAACAATCAGCCATGTTGGAAATGATTATGATCATGTGACCAATGGTGCTGCCACAGACTCTGAGATTCTTGACTCTAATATAGCTAGGATTTCTATCAAGGGAAATAATGAACCTGAAGAAAGAGAGTCACCTCCCTTACCTCCACCCCCGTCTCCACCACAATCAGTACATTCCTCACCTGTCAAACAGGTTGTTGATTACCCCCCTCCCCCACCCCCACCACAGCCTGTCTTCAATGAACCTCCACCTGAAACTAATACTGAACCTGAAATAAGGTACCTTTCATTTTCCATTCCATTTCATTTCATTTATTTTACATGAAAGACTCTTCACTATTTTTCCAGTCAAATTTGTCATTGCACTAAACATTAATAATACAATAAGTTTCACAACAATTCACTTCTTTTTGAATGATGTAATGTTAACAATCAGTATCTAGTACAATTAAACTAAGTAATGTTATAATTTTCACCAAACATTCTCATTGCACTTGACACTGGCATTTTGGCATGTTTAGGATCTGACTGCAAATTAAGTGATTTTTCACCATTTTTTTTGGCAATCAATATTAAAGTGAATGGTAAATGAGGAATGCCACCAACCCTCCACCAATGATATTGAATGCAAAATGAATTGATGTTTGACCTATCCTATATATTTTTAAATTTTCAGTACACCAGAAGTGAAACGAGTTGAATCAAACAGTATTAGATCACCACCAGTGATGTCTCAACCTTCTTCTGGCCGTCCTGACATCGCAACAGAGATACTGCGTTCAGGTGGCAGCTCTTCATTAAAAAAATCAAAGCCCCCGAATCCGGGCGGTGGAGTAAATTGTGTCTTTTCATTTGGTAGTGATGCTCGCAAGGCAGATAACTCTAAAAATAATAATAATAAAGTAAGTTTTCCACAATAATATTATTAGCCTTGTTGCCTCTCTCAATGGAATCCTTAGTTGACAAACTCAATCATAGATTTGCAATTGTATCAGGTGATACAGAAGAACGAACGTTAGCTCTCAAGATTTCGTGTTGTGGGGCATTTTTGTCTTCTGCTATAAATAAACAATATATTTTGTGTTTTTTCAGAAGTCATTAAAGGGAGAATATGATCCAAAGAATTTTTTGAATCAAATTCCTGAGAAAGATGCTACAGGTGTTCCCATCCCAGACTGGAGAAGACAAGTTTTAGCTAAAAATTTAGCCCAGAAAACAATGGAAGAGGATGAAGAAAATAAGAAGGTATATTTTTTTAAAAGTAGGATAGATCTGAATATATTTCTTAGACTTAAACCTTATGCCTATACCTATACCTTTGAATGCAAATCAATCTTAAAACCAAGCTCTCTCTCCGATTTCCAGACTATAAGGCATTTTAGACATTTAGTCAGAAGTTACTGCTGATTTCCTCTGTTTTCCTCAGAATATTCTCCACATGTAGAAGCTAAAAGAAGTATTTTAACATAGAATATTATATATTTAGTATCTAACAGTAGATATTAACTGCATCCTGACTAGTAGTGTGTCTTTTACAATAAAGAAATTAGTAGGCTTATTTTCCAGTACCATTAACATGTTGACTGCCAAATTCTCATATCAGTCTATATTATTATAATGAATTTCATACATGATTTGTCTTTTGAAAAATCTTTGACCATATTTTAAAACAAACGGTCCTATTGGCACCATGATGACAGTGGTCAATAAATTAAAAACTGACCAATAAATGACTGTAACTGTGGTTCTGGCCAAGGAATATGTGACACCCTGACATCACACTGATTATAGTGTAGCCAGTCAACATGTTAATTGCTTTATTTTCCTTGAAAACCCTCTTATGATATTAGGGTTGTTGTTTTAATAGGGTATATTTCATAGCAAATATTAATTATATTATCTTAAAGCAAACATTTTGCAAATGGCTAATGTTAATGAAAATCACCACAATATCAAAATCATAGTGAAACACTTTGAACTGGTATATACCACCAAAAAACAATGGTATGATACCACCCAAAACAACTGTTATATATAGTATATACCACCTAAAAAACTTATATAGTATATACCACCAAAAACACCTGTTATATAGTATATTATACCACCTAAAACAGTGGTAATATACCTCCAAAAACACCTGTTATATACCACCATAAAACAACAGTCCTATATCTGCTATATTTTATTAAGCTTCTATCCTAATGCTTTTCAATGGCTATATACATCTAGGTCAGTGAGCGTGAAGCTCGGTTTGCCAATGTACCAGATTGGAAACGAGCAATGATAGAAAAACGTGAGCAGGAGAAAAGGTGAGAAATGCATGTGCTTTGTGTGTTTCATAGAGCTTTAATTAGAAATGATGTTATGGGATTTGAGAATTAAATGAAGTTCAAAGGTCATATCAACCTTCAAGACGAAAGGGTAATGTTTTTTTTAAAGAAAAGGATGCTTAGCTTAGGTTGATGCTCATCTTCATAATGTCAAGCTATTATCGCTGATACAAGAAAGGTGGCTATTGGAATCAAGGTGTAAACCGAAGGTCGTAATAGCTTGACTTTGTGAAGATGGTTGTTGCCTTGCTTGTATACTTCTCTCCTGTCCTTTCTTAGTGCCAAATATAGGATGCTGAAAATGATTTCTGATTATTTCATTGTTTATAGAGCTAAAGAAGAAGAGTTGGCAGCAAAACAGAAACCCTGCAAATATACAAACATTCCACAGTTTGATAGTGAGGGCAACCCCCTTAAACCCTGGCAAATTGAAATGTATAAAAAGAAAAATGGTTATGTGTAGTAGAGTTGTATAAAACTCGCTTATTTTAGACAATTCACAGATCACTTGCCAGAAACAAGGTGCTCACATAGATTTTGGGACAGCTTTTGCTGAGATTTTTAACATATCAACTATTTTACTTGTATTACTATATTCATTGTGTAAATATGAACAAAAATATAGATTTACTTAATTATGTTATGGATTGAAAAGTAAATTCCAGCTTTACATTGGAACTTAGTAGCACATTTTTCATTCTACATAATATTATTTATATAAAATTCAATATTCTACATTTTCAGTGTTAAGATTTTTAGACTATTATAATCTTACAGATATATTACATGCTGAATATTATAACTTTAAAAAATAGGTCAGTTGTCTGAAGATCACATAGTTTGAAACTCTGAGTAACAACCTGATTCAAGTTCTGTTTTAATATTTTTAACTGTAAATATTATGTAAAATATATATTTTGAAACATTTACTTTACTATGGCTTAATGCCTCAACCAAACTTAAACACATTGAACACATTTTATGGTATACTACTCCTGAGTTTTATTGTACGTACACAACGTTTAAATTTACAGTAGTACATGTAGTTTAAAAAATTGTGTTCTGTCATTTTATGTGATCTCTACCCCTAAATATAGTTTATGGATTGTCAACCATCATAAGCATTCTTACTTAAATTTTAATCATGGAAGTAACTTGTCTTTTAATTATTGTACATTCCATTTTCATATCTTTTGTGCAATAGCCACCTTTATCACAGATTGCAGTCATTGATTTGTTTGGATTGTACGCCAGCGAATACAACCAATCAGAGCCCTCGACACAACATAAGTCATAACATACAATCCAAACTAATCATTTGATTTACAAACTTCCATTATACAAGAAAGGTGGCAATTGCAGTCAAGGTATAGAACAAAATTTGTAATAGATTGACATAGTGAGGATGGTTTCATACATACACCATCTTTCTGAATTTTCCTTAACAGAAAAAAATGTCAATATTGGGTCCTAGCTTTTCAACAGTGGACCTATATCATATAGTCATTAGTAAGATGAAAGTATTATAGTGTGATTTTTGGTGCATAATAATTACAAATTTGATAAAATAATTTTACTATTTTTATATTATTGTACATTATTTAATATAATTCCATTATAATAGACATATCAATTTATTTTTATAACTTTTGAAAACACTATGCTCATTATTGTTATTGTAAACTAGTGTCCAAAAGAAACGATACCACCTGTTTGCAACGACATAAAAGAAAAACTAAACAATGCAGAAGTTTAGGATTGGTGTTATGCTTTTGAGAAATCCTTTCACAACATCTGTACAAAAATTCCATTTCAATAAAATCTGTACAACCAATATGACAAGCCTTTAAAGATGGGTGGGGTCGAAAAAAGAACATTTCGTTAGAGCACTGATCACAGAAACAACGGGAAATGTCACACCACACGTCACAAAGTCAAGTCAGTAGCGGGTATGTCCACCGTGAGCATCAATACATGCCAGAACACGCCTACGGATTGATGCCGTCAAACGTCTGATGGGAGTGATTCGTTGCCATTCCTCGAGGAGACATCGTTCCAAGTCCTGGACGTTGACTGGAGGCACACGGCAAAGTCGGATTTGCCGATCGAGGTGGTCCCATAAGTGCTCGATGGGATTCATGTCCGGTGAACATGCGGGCCATGGCAAAACCTGTACGTTGGCGTTGGCAAGGAAGTTCTGTGTCAATCTTGCTGTGTGTGGCCTTGCATTGTCATGTTGGAAAAGGAGTCCACGAGGCTGTTGCTGAATAAAGGGCACCACAACAGGCCGTAGGATGTCATCAATATAACGCTGTGCATTCAGGTTTCCACGAATTACGACAAGCCTCGTTTTGACGTCACCACATACGAACGACCGGACCTGTTGGATAAAGTTAGGCGCCAAACGTTCACCAAATCGTCAGTATACAAGCTGCCGTCCATCGTTTTTGAAGATGAGGAATCTGCTCTCATCAGAGAAGATAACACGTGCCCAGTCCCGCCGTTGCCAACGTCGAACTCGCCTGGTCCAGATCAGTCTGTTGTTCCGGTGTCGAGGCGTCAGGAGCGGTCCGCGGTAGGGATGACGTGGCCGGATACCATACTGCTGTAGTCTCCTGTAGACGGTCTGTCGACTGATCCTGTGTCCCAGTGCTGTAGCCGCCGTGGACGTCGTTGTTACGGTGCGGTTCCTCAGGTGTAATACCCGGATGAACCGATCTTCATGGGGCGTGGTTACTCGTGGTCTTCCACTCCTGGGCCTGTCTGACGTCTGAACTGTCTGACGTAACCGCTGCATCAACCTGGTGATAGTGATGCGTGCGCAGCCCAACCTTCTGGCGACGTCGACTTGTGTCGCTCCTTGTTGGACCATTCCAACGGCTCTCTCTCTGTCGATGGCTGTCAAAAGTGGCATATCTTGTGTTCTTTTTGTTGCTGTGATATCAACGTGTCTGGTGAGCCGTTTTATACAGTTTTTATGCACGTGCAGAACATGCTAGACAGGGAAATGTCACTTTCACGAAATTTTTTCCCCGGAAGTGATCACGTGTTCCCGGTATTTTTATCGACTATGCTGTGTTTGGGATGTGCAATACGAATTGGCATGTTTTCATATTAGACAATTCACTTAGTAAAAAACAATTTTGAAAATAAGTTGGTATCGTTTCTTTTGGACACTAGTTTATATTTATTGTATCTTTTTAAACATTTCCATTGCTTAATTATTGTGTAAAGTTTTAAACTACACTTATGCTGTGGATACACAAACAGTCTTGGTTTGCAAATTCTATCACTGACTAGAGGCTTGTTAAGAGTTTCACCGACCATCTGCAGTTTTCTATAATGTCAATAAACACATGCAATTAAAAGGAAAATGAATCTGATTGGATGATAACGCTCTGTCTTGCAGACGATAAAACAATCAGCGACAAATATCAAACTGGTTTGATATTAGAAATAATATCTACAACGTAATAATCTTGTTGTGGAAGCGAGGGCAAATATGTGAGATTTTATTCAAGATTTGCATCAGCGACAAAGACCTGTTCGTGTGCCCGCAGAATTAGGGCAGGATGGTTATATTACTAAAGAAGTGAGCATAAAATAACGCTGTATTGATGGTGGCCCTTAGATAAGAATTTACCTTTATTATTGTATATTGTATCTATATTAGACCATATTATCAGTTATTTCTTGTGATAAATTTATTATTCATTTGCATTTTAGGGAATTATTTCAGCAATTGTATTTAACATATTGTTATACTAGCCTATTGTAAGATATCAGTGAGCTAGAAGACACCTATTGCTCATCATTCGTCCAATGACGATAAGTTTAAAGGAAACATTCCTGTGATAAAACATAAGGAAATGTTTCTATATTACAAGATTTGAACCTTCCAACCCTTGACTTAGAAATAATTCCTCAGGAGTCATGTAGAAACTGTTTTATGGTCATGGGTGCTTAGTGTATTATGTCTTTTTGGTAATATCATGGCAATAGATATTATAAGTCATTTGATCATTCTTTTTGCTTAATGGCAGGTGGTATGCTTCTATTATGAATTGATGTAGAGCAAACTGTTGCTATGTGGTCATTGTTAAACTATTTAGAGAATCATTCCTATTGTTTCTACTCCATATTTTAATCATGTTATCACCGAATAAATAATGGTTATTTAAAGCTTGTCTGGTATCTTTTATTTAGAATGTCATTACCAACAGACATTTTTTGGGCATTCTTTAGAATCTTCTCTTGATTACTTTTAGGAAGGAAGGAGGTACAGTCTGTAAACTGATATAATAGAATAGTGAAGTAAAATGCTGTGTACAATGAGGGAAATTGTACTGTTTTAAGCACAAATTAATGAGCTTGTGATTTTATTCTTCCACTTAAAAAGAAGTAGATTTGTTTGATGGTATCAAAATGTACACTGTAGGTAAGCAAAGGCATCTGCAAAAAATATGGCAGTCCTAAGCCCATATTATTTTCTGAAGATACAGATTGGACAATAATTACTTTATTTATTAGGCTCAATAAATAGAAAGTTAACACAAAATATTCCATTGATAAGATGAAGAGACTTGGACAAAGAATAAATTAATTACAAGCACAATTCATTAAATGTAGTCTGAATATTGATACAAAATCAAGAGTTACTTCCCTTGAACCAATTCGCTCTCTACACTATAGTTTGCTGCCTACTGACCTTAAGCACAGAATATTACAGTTTTCAAAACCCATATCATGATGTGGTCAATACACCATGGTCAAGGCTATTACTATGACCATTCATATCCGTTTCATCTCCTAAACTCACCATTGTTCTCTATATTAATGGACATTTTTTATATTTAATTTTGATAAAAATGATCAATTGACAAGCCCTTATCTTTTTTTCAGTAGAATATCACAGGCCTAATCCTTTTCTTGGTTATATGATATCCTGAAGTATCCAAGATGCAGTCTGCATCACAGTCTGATACTTATTCGTTTTAAACCAAAGTTGACAGTTTGCTGTCTTTTTTGGCTGGCAATGGATATGAAGCCTTCATACCATTTCTACCATCAGGTACAAAAGATGGCATATCACGCACAGAACTACTAGGTCCATAAGATTGGTCGTAACTTACACGCATTGGTTTTTGAGGTGGTCTTTTTGAAGATCCTGATCCAGAGCGCAGACGCATTTTCACTTCCTCTGTCGACTGAGGTATTGTCTGCATCCAAGATTGTGAGGATGGCACAGTATGGAAACTATGGCGATGTGAAGAATTTCGGCCTTGAGGTAACCCGTATTGATTTTGACCTTGGCCTTGAAAGAGTTTATATATGTCTGCAGAAGATGCGTACAATGGTTTTTTTATACCAAGTGACAGTTCTGACATAGCTCGTAATTGGTCCTGTAACCGTGGAGAGTCACATGATTCAATGTTTGCAATTTGATTGGTCAATTCTGGATGAGAACTATTATTACAGTCCCAGGAATAACGATCACGTCTCGCTGGAGTTTTCTGACGCATTTTCACAGGAGTGTCATTAGAATAAATCACAGGTGGATGTTGCTGCCGATCGAATCGCAAGTCAGGCATAGAAACCATGTGACTTTGTTTAGGCTTCATTATCATGTCACTTTCTACATCATCATTTAGCACAGGGATGCGTTTGGTGTCATTACATTTATCTGACATGCCCATTTGTATATTTTTATCGTTCCATAAAGTGTCATAATATTTAACGTCTGAATGTGGTACATATCCCATTTTCTCCACACGATTAATCCATTCCTGACGGGACGTAGGTGAGGTAGGCATATTGCCCGAACTACCATGATATTCATTTGGGAGTTTCTGATCCTGACCTTGACCTACTTGTACTGGCACAGCTCTGAAAACACCCTCTTTGTCCTTTTGTGAGACTGTACCATTGTATTGTATTGGACCACTTCTATTAGCACTTTGACCTCCTGATCGTCGAAAATCACGCTTTTGAAAACTTCCACGCAAGTTTTGAGGTCTGCTGGGTTTTTCCTGATCGGATTGATTTGAGTCTTCCTCCTCTATTGTAGTCAGAGCTCGAAGTCGCTCTTCTAATGACTGAGAGTTCTCTTGACGATCAACATTTTGTGTAACTTTTCTGACTGGCATGATGGGACGATTATTGACAGTTACACGCCCATTTGAGGTAATTTGAGGTGTCTTTGACATTTGTGTAGTTTGTTGACGTGGTAAGCTGCCGTTACTGGATGTACTTTCTGAAGTTGAAAGTGATGATAAACTGGAAGACAGTGGAGATGAAAATGAGGCTGATGTGTTAGTGCGATTGTCTGTTCCGTAGCCCTCGTCAATAGCTGTATCGTCTTCTTCTAAAGTGGGTAATATGTGAGGACCGTATTTGTAATTACGTTCAATTTGTTTGCGTTGTTCGTATGATTGGTTGCTGCGTTGAATGCTGAGTTCATTTCGCTGTTCTTCTTCCGTGTTCATCATAATCATTGTATCACATGAAGACTCACTTCCAGAATCTAATGCGTCCAATGGATCAAAATTTTCCCACAATTCCTTGGCAGTATCTGGAGTTATATGTTTTAATGGAGGAGAAAAGGCAATGTCATTAGTATTAAATCCAAAAAAATTACGCGGTTGTTCTCTTTCCCAAATTTTATCATGCTGAGTAACATTCAAACGTGTAAGCGGATGTGGCTCTGGGGAGTTTTGAGTCATCATAGTTACTTCCCTTTGATATAACTCTCCTGTTATGAAACTGCGTAAATTGGCACATTTCGTATTATTCCATTTGAATCATCAAAATGTTTATCCTTAAAATATTTCACTGCACTTTTATGAGTTTCTACTACTTTTGTGTATTGAGCACTTTTTGATCTAACACAAAATTGACAATTAAAAAATCCATTAATGATCACTAATAAATAGATATAATCCAGAAATAACTTAAAATATATCCAAAACAAAACACGATGTTCAAATTATCACTCAAAAACAAAATTTAAAAAATTGGTTCAGAAGTTGTTTTTAAAACAAATTAAAACAAATATAAGGAACACAAGAATTAGACCTTTAAAAACAAATCGGCTTCGAAAATTGGTTAACAGTATAAGAATCTAAAACACAACAATTCCTTTAAAGAAATATCCTTTTTTCCTCACAAATATCTTCTTGTATTTAGTATTCTTCTGTTTCACCTTCTTCAACTAATAGTTTAAAATTCAATTTTCTGAAGATCACACGGCAAATACTAACAATTTCTCATTTCACCACAGATAGTTACGTTTATTTACCTTGCTGCAAACACAAATATTGGTTTTAAACTTTCTCCAATCAGAAACCTGTTTTGTTGACACTTCTAACCAATGAACAATCACTTTACAAATTTGTTTCGCACTTGAACTCCGCGGTTAAACAATTGTTGATCAAAATTTCACTTTCTTTGAAGAAATTCTTCAGGTAAAAAGTATTTCGTTTTGAATTGTTGTAAATCTTTTGATGCAGCGATTCACTGAAGATTTCCTTAGTTACAAATTTTCACACTTTTGATCCAGCATGTAGGTTTCCGTGGTAACTAAGACTTTTTTAAACAAGCACATGTCTTCTGTATGTTTTAAGTCTGTGAAATTGTTTGAACGTTAAAGTCCCAGCATTCCAAGAGTTAAGCCTCCACCTGAAAAGAGTAAAATGAAGGATTAGTGAAAAGTTAGATAGATTCACGTCTGTTAGTTACCGTGGTGATGATATAATGCAGCTGTTTGTTAAACTTCTTTACCTTTTTTTAAAGAGAGCTTAAACAATTTCAACTTATAGATAGGTACATACACACATACATTCCACCTTATTCATTTGTTTAGTTATCACTACTCATGATGCACCACAATACATTGGCATCTTTTGCAAGAGATTTCTAGTTAAAAATTAATACTTTTGTTCTGTTTTTTATTAGCTTTTACCAACCAAACAAACTGCAAAACAAAACTCGTAAAATAACAGTTTGGCAATAATTGGTAACAATCAGCATCCTTACAAAGTATTGCTTGAGTCTAGTTATTTTCAGAAACCGCTGCAGCAATAAGTTTAAAACTTTAGAAAACCCTGCAGAATAGTACCAACTGTTCTGTTTCAACATTTACAGTATTTGGTTAAAATCCAAACTTTCTGATTCTAATTAGAACAGGCTTCCTGTTTTTTACCTTAAATAACTTCAAACATTTGAAATTGATTTATTCTCTCTAAGGTTCAGTTAGGACAAGTTAATTAGAAATTTGATATTAATTATTGCATATTATTAATAATTTACTGAGAGCTGTAAATAATAAATACACATTCAGAGGCTCAACTAACAGAAATTTTAAATGGAAATCAATATCTTTTATATTCTGAAAATAAAACTTAAACAATGAACAGCTCTATGATAGGGCTCCAGTCTGTCTTAAACTCTTTACTTTAATCTATCAATCCACTAACAAAATACAAAACTTGAATAATATTTTAAAAGAAATATCTAATTCACTGTGCGTTAATGTTGAAGCAGAATAAACTTTTATTTTCAAACCCCACTGGCACAAACTATTTAAAATATCCATGGATAACAATTGAATTAAAATAGAATATAGGCCAGTTGAAAATAATTTCACCTAAAAACTTATTGAAGCAAAACAAGGCAATTATTCATTTCAATATTTATATATATATTAGCTTGTCAATATTTCAGCCCTACAGACAAACAAATATATTGACATTTTTCAACGTAATAAATTCCCTTTTAAACAAAATGATTGGTGTTGATGAGCAGAAGCTAACTATCTACTACAATATGGAGATTTTGCAAAGAAGATAACTAAAATATCAACATGAAATTCATTGTAAATGAACCACATTTTGCGTTTTTCTTTTCTCCAAAATACCAAATGCCAATCTGCAACTAGGTTTGTCAACTGGTCAACCCTTCTGGAGAGTTCACATAATTAATGATGCTGGTTTGGACAAAATGATAGATTCTGCAGCTTTAAAATTGTTGAAAAAAAGCGATTACAATCACTTATAATATAGTTATAATTTATACCAGTTGTGGTGTGAATATCTTAACATTGTCAAACATAACTTAATAATTCTGATACATATACAGAACATTGTTACTCTTTCTTAAAAACTAAAATCAAGTCTGGAGCCAAGTAACCCACAAAAAATAATTTGAACAAAATATCTGAACTGTATCTTAGAAAACAAGTTAGCACTTCTTGAGAAATAACCATCATAAGCATTGGTTTTACTTTGATAGTCTGCTCAGAGTCAAGTTCTATCTTCTGCCATATAACATTGTGTAATAGGTAATAGATATAATCTTACTTACATACATCTTCTAACAGTCCAAACTACTGACCATCAAAATATGATTTACAAAAATTCAGACCATTAATTAAAATATGACCTATTATCCTGACCATCAATAATTATATTGACATCTACAATAGGACTGGTATTTTACCTCGGGGTAGAAATATTTTACTTTTATCAGATCAACAAGTTCAATAAATGGCTTGCACAACGTAGATGAAAAGTGTGTTGGCTATTTCTAGAACACCAGAATTCAGAAAATTGAATAAAGCATTAAAAACTCATTATGTATCAAAATTCTTAGAACTCAAACTATGATGTATTCTTGAGCAAATGGTAGCTTTCCATTGGGATCAAGCTGGTATACACAACCATCAGCAAAGATAATAAATCTCCCAAATAAACAATGCATATTAGCTATGTGAACTCTCTAAAAGGGATGCCGAGTTGACAAACCCAATCTCAGCTCAGTACCATCACCACAAAATTCTTTTCAGTGGACACAAAATTTGAAAATAAATGGTTTAAACTCTGCATTTTATGTTGTATTATTTGACATTTTTACAATGAAATAAATGCATATTTCAACAAAAAAATTTATTCCGAGCCTGCTCCCCTCCTGTCCCACCCTTTCTGAGCTATTACTAGCTGTGAATCAGCTGTATATTGATTGTTTCATTATGTTTAATATATTACCTGAGAGTACACTGGCCATTAACTACTGAGGTGTATATGAACATGTTAATTTGTTTACATTTAATTATAATACAACAATAAACAAATAGTAAACAACTGTCAAATAAACAAAGTCAAGAGATATAGACCAGATGTCAGACATCAAACTTGTGAACTCTCATCATACAGAGAGAAAACCTTGGCTGGTTATGAGAGAAGAATGACACTAGTACTTTCTGTACATGATTGAGGACCTCATTGCACACTGCATAGCCTTGCATGTCCTCATTAACCTGAACAGGTGCAGTAAAGTAGCAAGTACAAATCCATTTTATTTACATGACTAGACAAATGAAGATTGAACTGAGAAAGATATCCTAAAAAATGATAACAATTTCTTGTTTTGACAAATTTCTGCAAAAGGTGCATGCCAACTTTCAAATTTTGCTTATTTCAAAATGTACGTATATTCTCAATTAACATGATACTAAAAACCAAAACATTTCTCATATAACATTTCATAAATAATTTGAACTCAAATCTGCCATAAATTCAGAACCATTTAATAGAATAAATGAAGTCATTCAAGCCAGACAACATCAAAAGCATGACTGTAATCAATAAAAATCATTGAACCTAATGTGTCAAATAAAATCTATGTGTGAGTTTATCTTGAGGTATAAAATATGCATAAGATATTGACCACATTAGTTCATACATATTTATAACTGTGAACTTTCTTAGGCTTCATTATCACTTAAATGTAAATGCAGGTAGAACATGATAGTAGATAAACTTAAACATGAAAAATGCAGAAGACCATGTTATATAGGTGAAAGTACATTCCAAAATCCAGTTTGTTTATTTGCCACTCATGTCTGACTGAGAATCCAAAGTGTTATGTATACTTTTGTAGTTCATATATTCCTGATATCACCTCTATAAAGTTGCTGATTCAATGCCACACTAATTTAGCTCAATAAGTGACTTAGTAACAGAACTTATTGAACAGGAGAAGTTTTTACTGGATAATCTCTCTATTAACTGTAATGGAAAGTCAACTGATCATGTTCTGCCCAAGATTATTCTATTCACGATCAATCCAAGACCATTAAAAACAGTTCTTATATCAGAATTCAATTAACTAAGACTATTATAGTATTGATTAGGTTGTTATTGGTGGTGTGAAATATTGATATCATGGTTTTTAATCACACGGTTGTTATATATCAACTGATTAAACACTGACAATAGTACAGGTTAGGCGTTAAAATATAACTACCATAGTCGGCAATAACACCTTGATTAGTTCTCATTGGTTCTTTCATATTTAGCGTGCAAAAACCAATGGTGTCTGTTACTTTAGTACATACCATTGACTGCTCAAAAGTGCACACTCATTAAAACAACACTGGATCATTTCCTGATCATTTGGAGACACCTGATCATTTGGAGACACCTGATCATTTGGAGATGCTTGACTATCTGGAGGAACCTGATCATCTGGATTTATCTGATCAGTTAAAGATCCATCTCTGATTATATGGAGATCTCTGATCAACTTGAGATCCCTGATCAGTTGGAAATACCTGATCATGTATAGACCTCTGATCATCTGGAAATCCCTGATTATCTAAAAATGCCTAATCATCTGGGGATCAATGATCATCTGGAGATCCCTGAAAAAAAATTCCTGATCATCTGGATATCCCTGATCAGCACACTAGAAGAAACCAATCAGATTTCTACAAGTAAACTAGAAAAATATTCTCATCAACAACAAATCATCCAGAAAACAGCCACATGTAATTATGTAAGGTATGATGTCTGATCCCTCATTACCTCTGTTCATGTAGGAACACTTGGGGAGTAGCAAGAAAACACTCTCTGAACTTCACAATCCATATCAGCCACCTCCCTTTAATTAATCTAAACAAACTAATGTATTTTATATAAAGAAAAACACAAAAAATACCAAACCTTAATTAGAGTTGACAATATATCATACTTAATGACTTTATAAATATTTCATTCTGGAAAAACTCTTGACATGAAGTACTGGATAATGAGAAAAAAATACTTGATAATCAAGTAGAATAAGATGATAGATTATCAAGGTTTATGACAGGTAATCATTACATCTCTCTTGCTTTATTTCCTACCTGAATATCCATCAAGGTAAACAATAGATACAATAAAATATTTATGACTTAATAAAGCTATCTTTAATGATTATAGATAATTTGTTACAACAAATATCAAGGTTTATTCTTCAAACTAAAAACTGAACATCAAAAGTCAAACGTGAGAAATAAAAACTTGAGCTCATTTCC